GCGACGGCGACGACGGCGGCGACGACGACGACGACGAAGACGGAGATGGCGACGACGGCAAAAGTGACAATAACAACAATAACAATAACAATAATAACAAAGTCCGAGCGCGCGTTACTCGTGCGTAACAACGCGTAGGTAGATACTACGTGTCTCTGGCTCGCACTGCACTCACAAGTGACACATGCAGGTGCACACAGCGCGCCCGCTCGTCCCCAACTGGCTGAGACCCGGAGCGGCGATATTTCTGATCTTACGCGACGGACGCGCGCTACACGACGCTGCTCGGCTTCGCTCAGGGACGCGCCGCGGTGATGCACATCGCGCTGGCCGCCCGCGTATCGCACTGTCAAAATAAAACCTCCCTATTGCGAGCGAAACTGCCTCGATGTGACACACACTCTGGCACTCATTTTCGTTATGTCTTCGGTCACGTTCGCCCACTCGAATGGCCCAAGTGGCGAGGCACCTCTCGCCCGCGACCGCGCCGCCGCCTGTCGGCCGGCCCGTCGCGACAACGCCCCCTCGCCGGAGCATGCGCGATCGGTTCGGGCGCCGCGGGCCAATCGGCAGGCGCCATCGAGGAGAGCGCGCTCTCGGTTGTCCCGTTGCTTCATGCCGGCCTCAACGGGATTTTAAGTTCCAAGCTCAACACGCAATAGAGGAATACAAAGAAATATTAAACTGTTGCTTAAAAAAATTCTCAGGCTGGAGTATTAAAATATTTTAGGTTATGGCCGGCATGAACCAACATTGGACCAACGTTAGCCAATGTTTAACCAATGCGCTGTGCTACTAGAGTCCTTTTGTCCCGATAAAATAGAACCGAAACAATCATTAAGGGCCAGTTTCACAAACGTCGGTTAACTGCTAACCGAAGGTTAACTGATCCTCTGTCTCTTCTTAGAGAACAAGATAGAAAAAGATAGAGCGTTGACTGAACTCTGGTTAACAGTTAACCAACGTTTGTGAAACTGGCCCTAAGTATTTATCACAGTCTTGTTTCAAATACAAACAAATTATAGCGTACCGCACTGTTAAAATCGACACTCGACATGCAATATCGCTGGTTTTCCCGTTACTCATCGTTTTTAGAAATATTGATTAATGGTATCGATTTCGTTGAAGATAAGCCAAGAAAGCGGAAGATCTATACTTCGAACCGATAAAGCCTCATGACGAACGATTACTCTTAAGATTCCATGAAAGTTCAATGTCAATTAATTTCCACCAATCCAGATTAACTTTGATCTCGGTTTAACTTACCTTCTATCTCTTTCTAGTTTTAGAAATTGGAAAAAGATAAAAACTTAACTGGCTAAACTGAGATTAAAGTTAATCTGCATTGGTAGAAATGTGCGTTACGTTACACAATGCTTTTTTGCACGTCGTCGACAGAAAAACTCGCGTGCTTTGTAAACGATACTCGCGGTGAAAAACTGCTTCGGCCCGCGGGAAGTTTGAAAATTTTGAATGTAGCCCGCGAGTCGAAAAAGGTAGAGAATCGATCTCGACGACACTCATCTAGATATCTCGATACATTAGCGCGATTATATTTTTTTTTTATTGGATAATTGGAGACCTTTTGCGAATTCTCCGATGACTTTTCCTCCCCTTATCGAAGATTATTAACGATTTTTTGTGAAATCGGGAACTCGTGTCCCGCGCGTGGACGGTGACTCACGTGCTCGTCACGCAGCGACTTCACCGACGTGGTCATGTTTGGTTATGTTTACTTAGCGCGATGCACGATGCGTTCGAGGAAGTAGCATTCGTCAGGCCTACAATTCGCCGCCTCGCGCTCGTGACACATCGCGAGAAGGGTAGAGACAACGCGTAGATTAAATATTGCTGGCCAGATTACGAGAGGCGTGTTCGAAATATCCGAGAATCGGAGATACCGCGGTCTCGCGTGTCGCCCACGTGCCAATTTCTGGGGCATCGGTGAGAAATGCCGCGCGTTAGGACTTCGGGCCCTTTATCACGCATACTTTTTTATTAATTGATAACATTGTCATACACTTGTTATTTTTCTTACCGAGCTGCACACGCTGCATCTTGTACAACAATGTCGGTCGTGAAAACGTTACCTTCGCTGGATGGAGCGAAAGTAATTGTCGTAGACGAAGGTTATATCCCTTTGTTAAGCATATAATTGAAATCATGGTGGAGATATTTTTCAGAAGATCTAATGACATCTTGGAATGTATTTAAACATTTCTTTCTATTGATCCCGTTTCATCGTGAGCTTGGACACTTTAATTTTCCTTATATTCCAGCATTACATTGACTCACAGATTTGCATTGAAATTCAGTAATTTTTAAAAAACCTTTTTTTCAACTTTCATTGATTTCATAGACTTTGAGCAAAATGTCTCCATCAGTGAATCTATGTATAAAGTTCATACCCTGTAGATCGAAAACGTGCTAATTTTTCGGTGTTTACAGGTGTAGATGCGACGTATTCGACAGCGTTGATAGCTGGATGGGTGAAAGAGTGGAAGGAGAAGAATTCTGACTACAGTATCGATATATTGTCGTTTTCTGATCCAAAGACTTGGTACGACAACGAACCGGAGCCACTCACGTCTACGAATGTAAATTTGCACGATTATTTTAATGCCTACCCGACTGAAGACACTGAGAGGAAAGACTTGGAAAATCTCAACTGTATACTCAAGACTGTCAGGTTGAAATCTCAGAATACGGTCATTGTCAATTGTTTGAGTTCTCTGGTTCTGTACGTGGGCTTAGGAAAAGCTCTGCGATTTGTGGAGAAGTTAAGCAAACAGGTGTCGCAATTGATATGTATTTACCGGAGGGATTTCGTACAGATCAAAGTTCCTGCGATCGAGACTCTTGGCACTACTTACGTTAAACTGGAAAAGTTCACCGGAATCAACCCTAGAAACAATTTAGTTTATAACGTGAAGCTCGTCCACAGAAGATCGGGTGGTTCCATGCTGTGCCAAACAGAAATAATAAGGCAGGATCTCGAATCTTATCGGATCGATGCTGAAAAGGTTGAAGAATCGAGCATTCGCAAGACAGAACCAGAACCGATAAAGATAGAAACGTCGTTCAGGATAGAAATGAGCGCTCGGGAAATGGATCAGAGAGATAAGACGCCTTTACCTTATACTTTGAATGCAACGAACACATCTAGGATATTTTATCAACCGGAAGATGTGGACGATATAGATGAAGAGGATCCTGATGATGATCTATGCATATAGCTTTATAAAAATTAAAGAAATGGCGTATAAGAAACTTAACAATTTCTTAACTGCAACTCTCTGACTACGTCGAAATAATTGAAAAGTGAAAATGTTTTCAAGTAGACTCGAAATAAATTTCAACTTCCGAGTATTTCGTTCAAGTGGCTTCGAATCTGAATCAAATGCGTTAAAATGTTTTTGTCATTATGATAAATTCACTTATCACGCGATAAGAGTCGTTAGGACAGGGTTCTTGTTTCTACCGCTAGCGACTATATCGCCACCGTCATCGCGGAGTTCTCAGTTCTGTTCTCGACTCAGGGACCAGCCATGTTTCTCGGAGTTTCAACAGCTGACATTTTTTATTTTCAGGTTTCTGGACAATTATAATATATATGTTTCTCTGGAAAGAAGATAATAATTTTATTACATTTCTGATATAATTGTCGTGTATTTATTACTCACTCACATTGATTTACATAGTAGTTATAATAGATTCAATTTAATAATTCAAGTAAAAAAAAAACAAAGTCAATATAAGTAAAATCATATGAATAGAAATTCACAGATTTAATAAAGTTTTCGAGACGTTTCATTGCTCTTACAATCCTTATATAATGGTCTGCTGAACAGAATTAATATTTCCAAGACAACTGAAGTACTTTTCATATTCTCTTATTTCTTTGCCATTCGATCATACCATCATACATCACATTCTTAATTAATATATTGCAATAAATAATTAAGATCTGTATAAAAATAGTTTTCTTTCAGTATTAGAACAATTCTGCAATTGTTGAGCTATACCTTGAGAATACTACTAAAACTAAGGAGAGTCAATATAATATCAATTTGATGTCATATTAACATAAATATTACCACCTCCCTCAGTCAAATTGGTTAAGACACCCCTTCCGGATAGCAGCGAGGTCCAGGCTCAAATCCTGGCTGAGGTACCATTTTTCGCAATAAATTATTTGCACATTATTTCCAAAGAATGCTCAAACAACATCACTATTAAATTGATTGTCAATGTAAAATATATAGTCATAGGCCTTTCTGTTATGTGATTTAATATTAACATTATGTTCATGTATATTTGATATAAATTTGGTCAATGTGATATCAAATTGACATTATCTTGACTTTTTCCCTTCTTGGTATGCTGCTATAAACACAGCCTTTACTCACTTTATACAGTGTCACGGTAAAATAATTAAATTGTACCTAATACTGTTGTTCTTCAATAAAAATAATAGAAATATCCCAGACAGCACAGATCTCCTGAAGACGTTTTAAAGACATCCTCTGGATGTCCTTATGTCCTAAGAATGTTCCCAGGACATTCATAGGATATCGTGTGCTGTCTGGGATGTCACTATATTATCCAATTTATATCTCATGTTGTTGATGTAAATCTTTCAAAAAGATACTAATTTGATCGACAAATAATGTTTCTCACACAATCCGAAAAATATTTTCTATAAATTGCATCACTTAAACACATCTAAATTAATAGAAAACTATCGCAAATAAAAATTAGCTGTTTACTAATTTGTGCTGTGCTCAATTTTACAAATTATCTTTAATGTACATATAATCAAACCTCCGTATTAATAGCGCAATTTATTCTCGATCAATTTAACCTCCGTATTTTTCTCTTTTCACTTTACACTTGATACACGAAAATAAAATTGTGAAATTATGGACGCTTCGTAAACAAACGTTCGGCAATTTGTTCCATAAAGGAAATCCGAAGAGAAGAAAAAGATATTATTGATACACATGATGGATACGATAGTTACATCTTCATTTTGCGCATGCCATTAAAATATATAAAAATTGAAAAGACGGAATGGAGAGATTGCTCAGACCAAATGAATAAAGAACGCAGAGATTTGATTATATACAATAAATTATTACAATTAAATTATTGTTATTTCTCACTCAAGTACCTATTGTCTGAAATGTAATAGGAATGGAATTATCTTGTCGGAAAAATTTTATCCTAAAACGTTCGGAAATTGCATAAAGTTATGCATTAAATGTATACAGAAGATTTTGATCGCAAAAGTGGTGTGTACCGTCGACATGTTGCAGAACTCTGCTCTCCAGCAAGCAGCGACCATATCGCACGGCGTCCTCCCGGCTATCGACAATGCCAACTTCGAGCAACCAGTTGACCAAATCTTTTCCCGAAAAGACTCCTCTATATACCCTCAATAATCGCCTACGGCACATGGATATGCGTGTTCGACACTCATTCAAATGACATCGACTAAATTGTTCTCGAATCTCTTTTACTTCTGGACTGAGAGCTTCCTCACAAGGAAGTTGCAATTCTTTTCCTATAAAAATTACAAAATATTATTAAATATTATACGCA